ACACTGAAAAACACTGGAAGAATTGCTGGTCATGTGCCACAAAAAACATTTGCCCAAACACAGAAAACATTAAGCTGCTTGACATAAACAAACAGCAATTCCTAGTAAAGAAAGGTTTGCTTTCTTCTCACAACTGGAAGATGTTTATCCACAAACCCACCAGTTATCTCTCCCAAAGGCAAATGAGGAAATTATCTGGAGAGATGGAGCCGGACAAATCTGAAAACTTGTGCTTTCTTTAAATACACAAGGTCAGGGGGGCTCAGTTCAATACACGGAAGGGACAAAGCCAGTAAAACTATTCCATTTAAATTTGCATCATTGCTGGTAAAACTTTTTCCTGCATTAGAAGTCTGAGGGAATTGTCAAGGATCACTATACAAAACCCTGATGATTGTTAATAAGGACACTTATGAGAGAATTAAGTACACTACTGCTGTGCAGGAGCCAAGCAGTTCAACTACTTTTGATCTAGATTTATGACACACTTGGACAAGCAACACTATTTCTTCCCCCATCTTTCTAGTGCAATTAATCAACCTACCAAAGAAATGAAAACAAGTCATACTTACACTGCTTTTTCCACTCTGGAAAAAAAAAAAAAAAAAAAAAAAAAAAAGATTGGGAAGGGACACAAAACAGAAGTGCTACTGCAATGTCAGATTGTAATTCCTTCAAAATATTATTAAAAAAAATTGTGGTCTGTGTATTTGTCACTCACTACAAAACACTCCCAGCTGACATGCTGAACAAAGCTTACAAAAACCAGTAAGGATTCAGCGAGGAACCGGTAAAAAATCAGTAAGGAACCACTTGCAACAACATTCCAGAGAAATGGATTGATGAAGTTCTATTTGCCTCATCTCCAAGACCAACTTAATTGCTCTTGGTGTCATGGAACACAAGCAAGAGAGTTTATGGTTGGAAAAGCTTTCTGCTTGGGAGAAGGCTATACACTAGATTTAGTTTGGTTCAAGGTTGTGTTTGTTTTTTTTTCTTCCTGCTTATATACTTGTTGGGCAGCTAATCTCCACCACAACCACTCTCCAACTGCCCCTCCCCTCCAAGAAAAAAGAAAAAAAAAAAAAAAAAAGAAGAAGAAAATACCATAGAAAGGCCTCAGGGGTTGAGGTAAGGACAGGGAGATTCTGTCCAAGGACATCCTCTCCCTCCTTTAATCTGCTCTCACAGAGGTGCAAACACCACTCCCTGGATCCGCTCTGGCCAGCAGTGGGTCTCTTTTGGAACCAGCTGGAACTGGCTATGATTTGACATGGGGCAGCTGCTGGGCTCTGCTCACAGAGGGCATACCCCTGCAGGCCTCCCAATACCAAAACCTTTCCACATAAACCCAAAATAATGCTTTCTGATAGAGCATACAAGAAATCAGGGTTGTTGTTTTTTGGTTGTTTTTTTTTTTTTTTTTTTTTTTTTTGTACTGGGGCAGCAATACAAAAAAAAAAAAAAAAAGTAAAAGCTTGTTGTGTTGGGTCCCATGTGCTTCCATATTCCCAGAGTTTATAAAATGCAGATAATTAAATATACCAATCTCCCAAGTGAATATTAATTAGCCAACAAATCCAGAGCACTGAGAACAAGAAGTATTGTATTTAGTGGACTGCACATTCAAAAAAAAATTTTTAGGCTTATAGAAAAAAATGCATTAACATTTAGAATTCAAAATATTAAGCCTTTCTGCCAATGCAGCATTTCAGAACTATTGGAAGAAACAAAAACCGTAGGTTGTTAGCACACTCATTATAGAAGACTGACTCTCAAGGTCAGAAATGAAGTGCAGAAGCTGTTAAAAATAGCGAGAGTAGTCAAATTAAGTCTGGAATAGTAATTGGTAAACTTTTCTGGGTTTTTACAGAAGAGCAAGTTTATCAGTTTTCTAACCAGGATAACAAATGATTCAAGAGAAGTATAATTCAGCTTTATTCAATTCCAAAGTAAACAAACTAAGCTATAATAAATACTATTCACTGATCATTGTGTGCCTGAATAGCTACAAACGGATTAGTTCCCTCAACCATTTCACTATTTAAAACACAGAATTGCAGAAGGGTTGAAGTTGGAAAGGACCTCTGGAGATCATCTTGTCCAACCCCACTGGCTTTCAAGGCACCTCATTGTCCACTTATTGGTTATAGGGGAGGGTGCTAAAGGTCCTGTTCAAGTCAAAGCAAATACTACTCTACCCTTGTCCATCAAGGCAGACATTTCATCTTAAAGGCTACCAGGTTGGTCAGGAATTATTTCTGCTTTGTAGATCTATGCTGACTACTCCCAATCACCTACTCCTCCTTAATGTAAGGAGTACGTGTACAGAAACAACTGGAGAAAACTAGTTTATAAGTTACAAGTCAAAACCCATTGATTTTTATTTATTTATTTATTTTTAAAATGCACACTACTTTTAGAGTGCACATTTTCTGGTAAAAGTACCTTGGAATAGTTATCTTGAGGTAATATATCCAAGCCATCTCAGAATTGCACTTTTCATCTTCCAGAAATAATCTACATAGTCTCATATACTTCCAAAAAAAAAAAAAAAAAAAGCCAACAAAATCACTCCTGAAAGCGACATTAAGATGCTTTTCACATCTTATCATTTAATATTAAAAGGGGCCAAACACTTAATTCAAGTCAATTAACAGTCATAAGTCTAACACTTTTTTTTTTTTCCTTTTTTTTTTCTTTTTTTTTTTTTTTTTTTTTTAAAAAAAAGCCTGCTATTCAAAATAATTTCACAACAGGAATGTTTTGGCCTGTTAATTTGAAAGTCCAAAGTGGACTGTGACCACACAAGCAACCTGTAATTAAAATTTAACAGTTCCTTACACCCCACAGCCAAACAATTACCTGATTCGTTATTTCAGACTCACATTTGACTCCCTTGTCCTACTCCAAAACCATTCCCTGTTACATTTGTCCCACAGTGGTATTACATCTGCACACCAAGATCCATTTTTGCAGATGCCAAGTCAATTCTTTTCCTTTTCCATGATAGCCTTTCATAAATCATGTGTCATTAAAATTACGCACATTGCAAAAAGAATGTGGGGAGAGAAATCCCTTCACAAGCAATTTGCCAAAGTTCTGATATCAGTTGAGTTGAACGTCCAATCTCAATTTAGAGATACCACATCCTTAGGTTAAGTTGCTCAGCACCAAGTAAAACAGTACACAACACGAAGACTTCAAAAAGCAATTTCATTCACTAGTAATCAATCCATCACTACCAGCCATTCCTGTACAGACCAACCTCTACATGCCTCTTCAGAGAAATAATTTCACAAGAGTTTTATGACTCACAACATTGAAGGCCTTACTAAAGTCCATAAATAGTCCAAATAATGTGCTGGTTTTTTGTTTTTTTGTTTTTTTTTTTTTAATTATTATTATTATTATTATTATTATTATTATTATTATTATTATTATTATTATTATTTTAAAAAACCTTTTTCTGTCACGGGAAGAAAAGTGTCATTATGAATTTTAGTAATGTCAGCAACAACATTGTGTGATGAATAGGAGCCTGATTGTAGAATGTTCAAAGAAAACCAGGTTGATTTGATCTTTCTATGTCAGGTGTTGGATTTTTTTTTCCTCTATTCAGCACACACAGTGGGTAACTGACACAATAAAATCACCAGCTTCAAGGAGTCCAATACATTTCAAGTTGTTTTTGTGTCAAAGGGCTGCATTTATACAAGCTGCGCTGGCCAGAAATCGTGAAGCCAGAATTGTATTTTGAGCCCAGTGAAAACTTCTAAATGAATTTTTTTAAAATTGAGTGACTCTTCATTGCAATGGAATATTCACAAAGCTTCATTAAGTACCCTTTTTTTCCCTGCAACTGCTGTAGTCTGTTCACAAAAGCAACATTTTAATCTCCATATCATCCGTCTTAAGTACACAAATCAAGTGGGGCTGTTTGTCTGGAGATGCCTGTGCATATCATGGAGCCCTCCAGCTTTGATCAGCAACAATTGCCATCACACTGAGCACAATGGAAACTACCCAGCATGCAAGCTGTGCTGCTTATATTTAGAGCCTACTATAGTTATCAAGGTTGGAAGAAGGGAAAAGGACAGAGGAGCAAAACAACTTGGCCTTGTTTAGATGATCCACCAGGGCCACAACCAAATGCAAAAGTTCACATTTCCTAGCTGACATTTCTTCTAGACCAGAAGAAAGGAAACTCCCAAAGCCTACTTTACCCTGCATTTCTTAATTTAACTGATAAAAAGAAAATTGACTAAGCTTGGTTAATGACAGAATTTTCTCTTTTTTCCTCCTCCAAAAAGGTACTTCACCTATCCCGATCTCTCTTGTGTAGAATTACCAGTGTAGTTCTGTCAGGTTACGTGGGAGAGGAAAACAGTTGACAGTTGCAAAAAAAGGCTGTCTAGCCATGCCCAAGATAAAACCAGGAAGACACTTTTGCATAGGATTTTCTGAAGTAACTACACATACACTGATTAACAGATATGCAGTTAAGTTGAGTATATTTAATGTCACAGAAATCCCACAGATGCAAATACAGATGATCTGCAAATCTGGAAATCCACCACAGGTGTCCAAAGCCCTCAGATTCTATTATCCACCACTTCCAGTTAGAAGACAAAATACCCAGAAGTATGATAACCCTGAATAAGGTTATAGATCAAAATATTTCTCCCTGACAGCTAGCCTTCAGTTTTATGGAATGAAGTTACTCTGAAAAGTTATACCCATGGCAGAACACTATAGAGAATTCACTGTGGAATAGAGGGATTCTGCAGATTAATAGCTTATTAATACTAATAATAAGCTTATTATATAATAGTAGCTTATAATAATAAGTTTCTTGTTTATGTCCTTCCAAAAAGATGTTTCTCAAACCACCTTTGTTAAAATACCAAAAATACTGCACAATAACCACATAAATTGTTACTTATAGTCTAGCAGCACAGAAATGCACAATATAACTAGGTAATAATTAGAGGCCATACCTCATCTGAAGTGGCTTCAGGACAGGTTATCCATTTGCTCCACAAAACACTGTCAGAAAGCTGCAAGAACCAGAGGCCCTAAAGCCAATAGCTGGTTAACTCTCGCACCCAAATAACTTGTAGAAAAATCATGTTCCATGATAATTAGTTCGTTTTCATTTCAGCAAGTCTTGTCTCTGTAACTGTTTCCTCACAGCTGTGAAACTTCTCCTTCCTCCAAATGAAAGATGATCTGTAAGGACAAAACAATAGTGAAACCCTGAAGACAGCTGGAGAAAAAAAAAATTCAATTTTTGCCGTTGCCACAGGACTGAAGACAGGACACAGGTTTATGCATCAAAAAACACCACCTGTCTTCATTCCATTGTTTCATCCACTCATTTTACAACTTAACCAGTTGGTGATTCTGAACAATTACTGAACTTCCTTCAAGAAAAACACATTGTTTCAGATCACAATGTGATCTCTTACATGTCCCCCTTCCCTCTTGCCCAGAAGCTGTTCTCTAACACATTTGGAGGACGGCATGTTTTGTGATGGTGTCAGAAAACCCCCAACTTTCACAGAAAAATAACATTCATCTGTTTCCCCAAAGAATACATGCTTTTTTGTTTTTGTCCATATTGCAGAGATGACAGATCTATGCAAGAATGGATTAGGTCATTTTCTGTGTCATAGGATAGAGATACTAATTTGTTCATCAACTGCTGAGGGATCACTTTCAGTCTTCCTCAAGGCATTTAAGAGAGCTCCAATGGATATTCAGATACGGATTTCAAAATATCTGCATTAAAAACACGTATTTTTACCAAATCAGCAAATCTTACATACACTTGCTTGGGGAGAAAAGCAACAAGAACATGCTGCTTTGGGGCTTGGGGCATGTGTTTGTATTCATACCGCCCTTGCAGTATAAATCTGCTGCAGTTCTTGAAAGCTTTGTAAGAAGACAAAGAGCAGAAGCCCAATACCACTTATCTTAAAATGTCCTTTTCTAGCATGAAGACTGGTTAGCCAGGAGACCCTGGGGCTATGAGAGCCTTGTAATGTGCTTATGCATAGCTGTTCAAGTGCTGCAAAACGAAACAGTGTTTAGCTGAATGGTTTATATTAAACTAAGAAAAGTAAAGTTTTTCCAGGAACCAAGCAATCTAGTCACCCAAAATTAAGCTGCTTATTTTACACAATTCCATACATTCAAGTATTATATTTTAGTGCCTTTTATAAACAGTGGTGACAGGAAGAACTTTTGCTGCTATTCTCTTTTTATTCTAGGGTGACTTCGCTATAAAGAAAGCTACAGTGGATTACCTTGTGCTGATAGCCCATTTGCTGCAAACTAGAAGGTTAAATAGGAAACTGTAACTCACAGAATCTAAAAGTGTTCAATTGGTACTTAGGTATGGAGATTGAGGTTACCAGGGTTTTAAAAATACGTTTAACTTGAAATCTCCTCTTTTATAGAACAAAAATTCAAAGAGAACGTGATATTACAAAACAAATCACATCTGTAGCCTGTGGGAGAAGCACAGTTATGGTTACACCCATTCTCATACACACAACAAGTCGTGAACATCCACATTTGCTTGTGTGCATAAACATACTCAACGACACTGCTGCACAGGGTTTTGCAGGGTAAGTACAAAAGCGATGTCATACCTTCCCTGACTACACCTGCCAGAGATTCACCTCCTTTCCAAATACAGCTAGGAGCTATGTATCTGTGGTCCATACACCATAAAACTCACACTAATAAGCCCTAATCAATAAGAGGCACTTTGCTGTGGCATGCTTCTGAGGCAGAAACGACCTTGTAGCTTTTGCTTGTTCATTCAAAAAGCAGAAGTTTGTTCCTAAGTCAGATGCAAGCAAGATCAAAATTCAGATGCGCTGAATTTTGTAATGATCTTTATTCTGTCACAACACAGTGATTTGACAAATGCTAACATTTCATGGAAACCCTGATCTTTTGACAGAAGACAGAGGCAGGGCTGGAAATCTGCCTACTTCATGGCAGTTTACCCGGCTCTTCGTCAGCAAGGAGCTGGAAGTGAGGACTTGCCGGCTTCCCACCCACCTGAGCTCCCAGCCCACAGACTGGAAAGACTCCTGCTCACCAGGGAATGCCAGGAGCCCGCAAAGCTGCTGCATGAAGCCAATATAATCCTTTTAGTTTCATTAGCATCTCCCACTGATCAACAGTAGCTAGACTGTCAACCCCTGTCAGCCTCATGCAACAGTAGTCAGGGATCCTGGGGAGCACGTGGAGTTTCTAAGCAAAATATCGTACAATTTAAACTGCACATTCTGGGGAATCAGGGTCTGTTTTTTAATCCCAGTTTAAAATTCTCACTGTTTGGGGATGAAGATTGTGAATATAAATTTGGTTTTGAGACCAGCTCTGCCAGAACCAACTGAATCACTATTCGTATGCTTCATGATTTCTGGCAAAATACAGTGCTGCTTTCCTGTAGGTTATTAGTCTGAATCTAGAGACTTGCCAGCACAGAGGTACGCTATAATGTTTCCTCTCCAAATGTGTCCTTCCTACAAGGAAGGACAAACTAGTTACGAGCTGTATACATACTCAGGGTCTCACCAAAAAACATTTCAACCAGCAGAAGAACCCTTGTATAGTAAACAAACTTCTAGAAACAATAGTTAGATATGATCCACTAGTGTTTAAGTAGTACTTACCAAACAGATCTGTACCTGCATTGGATGAGCCATGGGAACCCAGCTGTAGCTCATTATAAAACCACCCCCCCGACATACTACATGAGATGCAGGCTCTGTGGCAATGGGGCACCCCCTTACTGCTTCTTTGCTCAGCATCAAACTTCATGCAGCCTTAATCTGGACTGGATTTTCCAGTAATAACGTATGTCAGTGTCCCAAATCATAGTAATTTAGTAATCCAGAAATCTTTAGGAATAACATTTAAATCATTTTCATAAGTTTTAGGCTTTTGTAGTACTGAAAGTTACACTATGAAACCACTATTAGAGAAAAGCACCTGGGGCACTCTTGCATTTAACAGGGAACAAGGACAACAAGGTCTCTTCCCTGCAGCTGGAACAGACTGCATCCTCAGCTGAGCTAATCACACATTAAAAATCTACTCCATCTCACCTGCTATGGCTCCTCTGCATGGTAACCTCAAGTATCTCATGACTCCAGCTCTCACCACACCAACTTCCTCATATTATGTATGGAGTGGTAATTCATGTCGAGAAAATGGTTGATATTAATAAAGAAGGGGGAAATTTAGGAATGTGGCCATGGGGGTTGGAAAGCCCCATGATTGAGATAACATTAGACTCTTAACAATGAGGCCATCAGGAATATAAAAGAGTTTAGAGGGAACAAAGAAGGGTGATTCAGGAGACTCCATGCAGTCTCCAGTTTCTTGTTCTCCAGCTGGTCTGTTGTTCTCCAGCCATTAAGGCATGGATGTTTCTGGGTGTTTGCTGTTGTTGTTACATTTGAAGCTGTTAGACCAATGAAAAGTTGTTTTGAAAAGAACTGCCGTGGAGAGAAGGGTATAAGAGGGGAGCCTGCCCTCCAGAGAAGAAAAAAAGAAAAATGCAACAAGATGAAGTTACATCAATAAAGAAGCAGGAAAAAGAAGTGAAGAGGAACAGGCTGGCAGAATGGAGACCAGGACGGGAACAGGCACTTTGATTGTCTCATGAAGGCAGGTTCGACCAAACTCAGCAAACCGCTCAGAGAAGCTCGTGCAGAAAGTCGCTGGAAACAGGCGCACTGGAGCTGGAGAGAAGCTCGAGCTGAAGGAAACAGACCCACGCACACAACTGCCCCTCGCTGGTAAGCAGTTGTGATTTATGGGGAAATTGTCCTTACGAGCAAAGACTGTCCTGGTAACCTCACAGCTTATTCTCCTTATTAACAATCAGACAGTTTATGAGCCTGAAATATGGGACCAAACTGAGGTCAAGGTGTGGGATTCTGCAACTATAAATGACAAGGTTGCAGTGGAATTGCTCGGCACCTGGCGAGCAGTCTCTGAGGCCTTAAAGAGCCATGTGGGACCACAGTCAGAAGCATGTGGTTTGCTAGATAGTGAGGGAGCTGTGGGCTGCTTTATTGATCTGACTGTTACGCCATGGGCCCCTCTGCTGCTACAGCCATCGAAGGCCTTTGCTGTTACGCCCCCTGTTGACCTGGACGTGCCTTTTGACCCAGGCCTATTGGCCTTGAAAAGGAGACAACTGAAAGCAAGACATTGTTGAAAAGGAATGGAAAATGGAGACTGTTAAGTTATGGAACTTAAAGGATTGTTTGTTACCTTTTCTGATTGTATGTATGTATAGGCATACTCGGGTTATTATGTAAATCAATGTTCTGTATACATGTGTTTAGAATGTTTGATGTGTGTACGTGCATGTTGGTGGAGCGTAGACTCCCCGCACACCCAGTGCTGTCTACTTGCCTTTTATACCTTTTATAGTTTTTAATACCTTTTAGAAATATTTGTTTAATAAATATTACAAAATTTAGATTGAGTTGAGACCTCATTTATAACACATACCCTACAAACCCACAGGGATCATCTCTCAGAGACCTCCAAGTCACCTGCCACCAAACCTGAAAGCATAGGTAAGAAGCCTTGCCTGGCAGTCAGCTTTCAGCTATACAGCCACATGTATTTCAGCTATAGGAGATGTCAGCCTGGGACAACTAACCATTAAATTTTTGCCAATTCACTTTTAATCACCTTAAAACAGGTACATGAGTTTATGAGTTTTAAGGTATCCTACATACGGACATGCATGTTTTGCTCCACAGAAGTTGGCACTGCAGCCAACAAGCTGCTACTCACAAGGCTCCAAGCTGCAGCTGAGCCTGGTTCAGAGCCCTGTCCCCCCATGCCTTGGCAAAGCCCAGCAACCACCACCAGCCCCAGCACCGTGACCATGTCCCTGCCATTTATTTTGGCAACATAGAATCTCTGCTGGCATCATCAACACTGAACACAGCATAGTTTTGTCTTTTTAACTCTCCTAAATGAACTGCAAATAGACTTAAATGTTTGGCCTGGGAAGTTAGCTTAGCTACTGCGAAGGTGAAGTCCTACCCTTCCACTTCCCAAATTCTTTCCTCTGCAAAAATACAACTTTTGATGCAGTCTCTCTGCAAGTATAATCTCTACAAAGATGATTTTTCTGTTGTCAAATGAGCCACTATAAATGGGCAACAAATAATTTTAGTATTTTTAGTCATAAGCCTTATCTTAAAGGATGCTTGTGTTTCTTCACCCCTGTCCCTTCCCTGTTTTCTCTCACTGTGAGGAATTAAAAATAACACCAGCTATACTTCTGCCATGCTGGCAAGTCTCACAATTTAACTGAAAAAAAAAAAGTTATGTCTATCTACGGCTGATAGCATCTTATAACACATTGACACTAATGTTTAATAGGGTTCAACAAACACAAGTCAAAGATCAAGTGGTTAAAGTGAAAATTATAAAAAAAATGTACGCTTTTGCATCAGGCATGGCATACTGACAGCTCCTTAAATGAAAAAACAAAAGCATAATGCTACCCTTTTACTTCAGTCTAATGAGTGATAAACAGGCCATCACAAGCAGTTCTCATCACTTAAGTTTTCTGGGGGGGAAGGGGGGGGGGAGGAGAGGGGGGGGCAAAACCAAAACTAACAATAAATAAATAAAAAATAAATAAATAAAAAAATTCAAGCACAACTGAAACCCATGGAACAATGCAACAAGTGCACAGGATTCCAAGCTTCATCATCAAGCTGGGGTGATTAAGACTTTCCTTTTTACAGGTCATTCTTTCATTCTTTGTGCATTTTATCCCCCCAAATTACATGTAGCTCCATCTATCAACTGCCAAAGGAATGAGTCCTTTTACAGAAAAATGTGAGGAGTAAGGTGTTTCATTCCAGATTTTAGATTTTTCTGGAATGTGGCTGTTACCATGGAAGCCTTCTCATAACATGGAAAATTACATTGTGATATGCGCTGTATATAGCAATACATAAAGACAGCACATTGTTGACACTGTGTGCCTAGAACCTTACTGTGAAACTGCCTGAGATCTCTGCAGAGCTGTCAGACCCAGAGTCTTCTAATACACAGTTACCAAACACCAGCAAAAACAGATCTCCCTGGCTACATTCAAAGGGAATTAAGGAGTTCTGTCAACTTCCATGGATTCAAAAACAAACAGACAAAAATAATAACACAAACACTGGAACAGGAACCCACTCAAGTTTTGCTTAGCTGAAGAAATAATTGAGATGCATTCAGAGATAAATAATTCTAGCCAAGACATTAAAAAATAGGTTTTTACAGACAAGCATCTACATCCATATTTATGAACCTATTCTGTAGAGCCACTGTCACAAAAATTAAATGCTTTGCAAGACACCTGAAGTAAGCTTCAGCATTGCAGTAGCATCCCCTCAAATAAACCCTGACCAGGTAACTGAAAGATGCAGGTCTGGATTTAATGGTCTAATTTTAGGCATCCAGAATTAAAAACAGAAAGGTACAATCAAACACTACCATATGAAACTTTTTTTTTTTTTTAAAAAAAAAAAAAAGAAAAGTTTGTGTGTGTAGAAAATTACACAGTTAATTGAAAGAATCACTAAGTGCAGCGACCTAATTCTTGCTCACAGACTGAGCAAGGATCAGCAGTATTTTAAATGGAAAAAAAAAAGGAAGTTCTGATTTTCTAACAGCAATGAGCAATCACTGAAAGGTTCAGACTTATGTTTTCCAAATATCATTTGCTTCTGCTTGGATTGCAAAAAACAGTGAGAACAAACAAAAAAGATCAAAGATAGAGTCCACATTTCAGAAAAAAAAAATGGAAATAGCAACAGAAATCTCAAAAGACACAGAAGTAAAACAATGGAGACAAACAGGGAGGTAACTTGGAACACATCTACAATTCAGGCTTTTGCATTTCAGCAGAAATGTCTTATTTCTGTTTTTTTCCTTCAGTACCATTACTCCAGCCCAGTGAATGAAATGAGCCTGGATTCACAGCAGCTCACAACAGGTGTGTCAAAAATCCAGATGAGAAAACACATGAAAACTGTTTTGAGGGCATGGTCATCAGGAAACATAGCTATAAAGGTATTTTTTTGTTCATTTTTAAACCAGAAATTAGTGTTGCCACTCAGGAGAAAGCACTGCAAAATTAGCTCCCTTACCTTCTCCCTCCCCCAGTTTACTGGTGATCACAGCAGGCCCAAAGCTCCAACAGGTTGCTTTAGCTGCTTTGACAGTGAACTGGAACAGCCACATAGTCACCACTGTGACAGCAAGTTTCCCAAGGAGAGCCAGCGTTGAGCCTCATGACACCAAGGCTGAGGGGGGACAACATGCACTGGGAAAAGACATGAGGACACGCTGTCCTGGCAGGTCACCAGTTGGTGACCACTGAAAACCCCCTGCCTGCTACAGGCACCAGCTGAAGCCACCTGTTCAAATTTTAAATTAAGCCAATTAATTCAGGCTTGGGTGAACAGGGGTAGGTGTTCACATCAGCTACAACCTTAAAAATAGAAACTTGTGGGAGATGGAAAAAACAAACGCAGCTTGGGGTTAATAAAATCCATACAGCCTTGAAGTCACAAGGCAAAACTCCCACCTGGGGGGGGGGGGGGGGGAAGGCTGAAGTTGCAGTAGACACAGGACTTAGAGGCCCTGGCCTATGTCAGTCAGTCAAATTAAGTTACAGGTGACTGCAGCAAAGGAACTCAGGATCTGGGTAGTGCTCAGTGCTGAGGGTACAGCTGCAGCCTGTTCCAAGGCCCTCAGAAGGAAGGCTTTCTCTGCTTGCACGCATCCAAATGCCCTTCAGATCCCCCAGCCCACCACCAGAGGAGCAAGACTGGGCAAAAGCAGTGAGCGCATGGACTTTATTTCAGCTATGGAAGAATGCAGTGGTAGTGACTCACACAGATTCTTCTCCTTTTGAGTGACTACTGGAAAGAACAAGCAGTGGTTCAGCAGCCAGAGGCATGGGACTGTTGATTAAAGCCACGAGTTTTTAATCAGCGTCCTGAAGGCCCACCAGCCTGTCTGTGCTGCTCCAGTTACTGAAGGACAGTGCTGTGAAACTGTCCTGCAGCTGTGTAGCACGTGCTTGGCAGTGTAGTAGGAGAAGGGTTAAATACACAGGGGAAAATACACAGAAAGCTAAATACCTGGCTCCAGAAGCCTTCAGATTGTTCTGCAGTCACACAGCAAATGGTCACCTTTTTCCTTTAGAGATGACAGACAATTAACAGAATTAACAGATGCTTAAGATGATGGCTTCAAATCTACATCATTTCTTTGTCTGAACTGTTTCATGGCCTGCTTTTTAATTGCCACATCCAATGGGGGCAGGAAGGTGGATCAAAAACCTCTAAGCTGTATGAGATGGTAAAGCCTGTGCAGTTCTTATTGTTCTGCTATTTATTTTCACAGTGGAAGACTACTTTGTGGCAACCCACTCCACCACACACACTGACTCATTTCTTTAATAGAGTCCTTTGGAGAGAAATGACTCCCTGCACTTTGAGTACTTCATTCACTGCAGGTTCATCAAGTACCCCAGGAAAGCTGGAAGCCTGATTGCCAGCTGAAGAAGGGGCCTAATCCTGCCCCACAGAACTACGTGGTACATCCTTCAGGCTCTGCTGGAAACTGTTCAAGCCAGGGAGAACCTGGCCACACCAAGGAATTAGGTTCTTGCAGGTTCTATTACAGAATAGAAATAACAATTTGATTTGGCAGGGGCTAACACAAATTGGCCTGCATTGACTTTCAAGACATTGTAAAAAAGAACAGAAGTAAAGAGATTCATTTTTTAAACAGACTGACCAAACATTTTATTTCACAAAACCAGAACTGAATGTGGGTCCCTGAAAAGGCCTGCACAGGCCAAGGTTACCCAAGGCACCCAAAGGACCTAGAAAACAAATCCTTCTCCCCAGATTTTCAGGAGGCCCACAGCTCAGGTTTTAGCCTAGGGTGGCATCAGCTAATCCTGTGGGACTGCACACCACATAGGTGTGTTGGACTATCTTTAAACTAAATACCTAGACATGCTTTGGGGCATCATGGCAGCAGTTTCAGCATTGACAGGTGATGACCACAGGTAATTCTTGGTGACTTGCTTTTATTTGACAGCAGGATAAACAACTTCCCCCCCCCCCATCCTCAGGAAACACATATTGCTTCCAAGCAAGCTGGAATCAGCTACATGCAGAAAATGTTATATAGGCTTCAGTATCCCAAACTGCTTCTCCACAGCCTCTGGGTAGGGAGAATAATTTCCCCCTTGTTATAAATGCAGTCTCAACTCAATCTGAATTTTGTAATATTTATAAAACAAGTATTTCTAAAAGGTATAAAAGGCAAGTAAACAGCGCTGGGTGTGCGGGGAGTCTATGCTCCACCAACACGTACACACAAACATCAAACATTCTAAATATACAGAACATTGCTTTACATACTAAACACAAGCATGCCTATATACATGTACAATCAGGAAAGGTAACAAACAATCCCTTAAGTTCCATGACTTACTAAAATTGAGTACGCCTATACATATTCACGATCAGAAAAGGTAACAAACAATTCTTTAAGTTCCATGACTTAACAGTCTCCAATTTCCATTCCTTTTTTGATTACTAACAAGTCTCCATTTCCCATTCCTTTTGAACAATATGTCTTGCTTTAAGTTGTCAAGCAACTCGGTCTTCAGGCCTTACTTATCCCGTTCCTCCCAGATCGAAGAAAAACATACCCATCTCCTTTTCAAGGCCAATAGGCCTGGGTCAAAAGGCACGTTCAGGTCAGCAGGGGGCGTAACAGCAAAAGCTTTCGATGGCTGTAGCAGCAGAGGGGCCCATGGCATAGCAGTCGGATCAGTAAAGGAGCCCGCAGCTCCCTCACTATCTGGCAAACCACACGTTTCTGACTGTGGTCACACATGTCTTTTTAAGTCCTCAGAGACTGCTCGCCAGGTGCCGAGCAATCCCACTGCAACCTTGTCATTTATAGTTGCAGAATCCCACACCTTGACCTCAGTTTGGTCCCATATTTCAGGCTCATAAACTGTCCGATTATCAATAAGGAGACTAAGCTGTAAGGTTACCAGGACAGTCTTTGTTCCTAAGGACGTATGATTCACCATAATGCACAACTGCTTACCAGCAAGGGGCAGTTGTATGCACGGCTCCGCGTCTCTCAGCTTGAGCTTCTTCCCAGCTCCGGTACACCTATTTCCAGCAACTTTCTGTACGAGCTTCTCTGAGCAGTTTGCTGAGTTTGGCCGAACCTATCTTCATGAGGCGATCAGTGTGCCTGTTCCCATCCTGGTCTCTGCTCTGCTAGCCTGTTCCTATTCATTCATTTTTTCTACTTCTTTATAGATGACAACTTCATGTTGCCTTTTCATCTTGAGGGCAGGCTCCCCTCTTATACCCTTATTCCCACAGCAGTCCTTTTCAAAACAACTTTTCATTGGTCAAACAACTTTGCATGTAACAGTAACAGCAAACACCCAGCAACTTCCATGTCTTATAGGCTGGAGAACAGGCAATCCCAGACTACATGGAGTCTCCTGAATCACCCTTCTTTGTTCCCTCTAAACTCTTTACATTCCTGATGGCCTCATCGTTAAGAGTCTGATGTTCTCATCAACCATGGGGCTTGCCGACCCCCATGGCCACACTCCCACATCTCCCCCTTCTTTATTAATATCAACCATCTTCTTGACACAAATTATTAGTCCATATTCACACACCCTCCAAATTGAAATTACTGAAAATCCATCTTTTTACATTTTCTATGGGAATCTAAACATACATGCAGTTTTCTTTACAAGTGCTTCTATTCCAGAGTAGAAAGAATATCTGTGGCCAGGCTTACGGTGGGATTTATGGTCCTAAAGCAAGACTTACGTGGAGAACAGATACATTCTTTCAAAATTGCACTTCTAGCTAAACAAAGGTCTCTGCTCAGCTCTTCCTAGATTACACTATACTGTGAAATGCCAGAGTCACATTTTACACAATCCAGTCATGAGATAAAATAATTGATCAGTTCAGGGAGCAGAATATCAGAATTCCCAGGCAAATATCCTAGCCACTAGGACATAGGCTACCTCCTCCCTTTGTCCTGTTTGATCTCATGGATCTTTTCTCTTTGCAAGCACCTCCCAGAAAACACACACACACACACAAAAAAAAAAAAAAAAAAAAAAAAAAAAAAAGCAGAAAGGGAAGAGCCAGTGACCACCATTCTCAGCAATATGGGTAGCTTTCAGCTTTCTCATACAATAAAATAATAATAATAAAAATATTTCACTCCTTGAAAATACACAAATTCCAAGTACAGGCAACAGTGACCAGCACCTACTCCATTCATCATACTTGAAAAGAAGCAAGCATGTCTTGCTGACAAAGCAGCTCTTCATCCAATCTCACTGGTTTTATCTGAGGGGAGGATAATTCTAGTCCTATTCTCACGCACTTCAAATGAGTCAATATACATCTCACTCTGAGTTGTTGCATCCTCTGTACCTACCTTAAAGACAAATTCCTCTATGAGCAATAACCCTTACTATCATAATTTCCCTCTGCTTTCTCTAACCTTGTATTTCCAGTCTCCTCTCAGAGCAGAAGGAAGGACTCATGTTCCTGTATTTTTCTCTCAAAGGTTAAATGCGTAGCTGCAGTTCCACAGCACCACAGGGGGGAAAACAACAACAACAAATGAAAATAAGAGCTGGGAATAGGAGGAAATCCCTTAATCTAGTTTACCTTGTTTCATCTTTTCTCCTGCTGCCCATAAAGAAAGTGATCATCCCGGGGGGGGGGGGGGGGGGGGGGTGAGGGGGGGTGGGGGGTGGGGAATAGTTCAATAATCCTAGTTTATTCCTGGAACAAAGAATGAGTCCGTAAGCTATTTCTTGACAATTGGGTGCCATTAGAGTACAGCCAGCCAACCTGTGACTAATTTAAGGAAACTGTGGCAATTATCAGCCAGCAGGCATGAAGGCAAGATGGGCTCATCACTATAGAAAGACCATGCAGAGAAAACATCCATCACTTCAGGCACAAAGATGGGGGAAAGAAGATGACTTTACAAAGCTGACAGTTGCCTCTCTTATAACCAGGCCTGTGAGACTGTTCACTCTCCATCCTGTCACCTCTGTTTTAGGAACCTGAATCCATACCTGGAGTTACAAGACAGAGAATGTGCTCTGGCTCTTCAGCTTAAGCCTCGACCCTGAGGTTTGGAGATTTTTTGTGCAAATGCACACCCCATTGAAGAGCCATGGTGAAAATAATGATCAAAAAAATACAAGAACCTCTCTTTCTACAAAATAAAATCGTGAAGCAATTTAAGTTTTTCTTGAACTATTTAGGCAATAGTGAAACTTCAAACACAAACTAGCTGCTGACATCTTCCTTGAGTACTAGTGAA